CAAACCAATTCCCGTTTTTTCGTTTCATAGTCCCGGGTGAGGGTGAACATTAATAAAAATTTTTTTTTATCCCCTTTGAAAACATTATAGTACATTGGGGGGAACCATTAACAAAACCCCAAATTTCCCTTTTAAAAATTCATTTTTTTTCCCCGTGTTCCCCCAATTTGTTGATGGGTTAAAAAAGGGGGGTTTTGTTAAAGATTTGAGAGAATCGATTTTAAGTTTTTTCCGGTGACCCCAAAACGATATATAAAAGATTTTTTTATTTATTCAGTTTTAAAACAAAAGGAAATTTGAATATATAATTTATCCTTTTTTGCTACCCCGCCCCTTTATTCAGGTTGCAATCGCCGGGGTAACCCCACGAACCCCAAAACCCCCATGTTACATTTAAAAGCAACCTGGGGTACCCCCCGAAAAATTTAATTTAAATAAAAAATTTATGGTTAAAATTTGCATTTTTTAACCCGGTTTACTGGTTGGAGTTTCTGGGGTTATTGGGCAAAAGGGATGATTAAATTAAACAGTCCCTGTTGTTTTTACTTTTTATATTAAAAAACTTTAAAAAGAAAATTTTTTGGAAAAAAAACCAATCCCGAAAAAATTTGAAAATTTTTGACGTAAATTTCTTTAAAAAAACAAAACAATGGGGAAATTTTTATTTTTTTGACTTCGGAAATATGGCGTTTTGATCAACATTTGATCCTACAATCACTATAATTCGGGGGGCAGCTGACCTAAAAATGAGCAATTTTAAACTTCAGTGTGGTCAAAAGCAAAATTCCAAATATTTCAAAATCTTTACACAGGCAGAGATCCAGTTGCACAGCATTATTCAAGGATATGTGACATACATTAAGAAAATCAAAGCACAGAAGGCGCTGAATTTGTTTGGGTCTCAGAATGTCAGAAAGGTGAAGGTTGTGAGATTATAAACCAATTTGTTTTTGTATAGTGCCACTAATGCTTTCCAACGTTTTAATTGTTGTGAATTGGCTATAAGACTAATTGCAACACTGATATTCATTCAATTCAATGTTTATTTGACTTAAACAATTTGAAAAAGAGTTGCCTTAACTGGGATTTGAACTCCAGACCTCTCGCTTCCTAAGCGAGCGCGCAAACCCCTCAGCCACGGTGAAGTTATACGGCCTAAAGAAAACCAAATTATTCTAAATTAGGGTTTGTAAATCTTATTATTTCGACTTTAACACAGATGTAAAAATCATGGAGCTTACTATAAGCACGTATATCTATCTATCAAGAATAAAACAATATTAGAAAACTTCGACCATTCGGGAACAGTTATTTTGTTTGTGTAATTTGGCCATCTTTACGCAGTGATCTCCCCTGAATTTTTCGGCGTTAGTGTACATATAAATGGAAAAAACCGCTTCAAAAAAGCCGACTACTTTCGGCATTTGCAATTAACAGCATCAGGGTCTGAAATTTCGCTACCATTATTTGTTTGGTCCGACGACCCAAACAAATAATTACAGTTTGCATGCATTGCTCCTAATAACAATTCATATTTCCCCCCGCCTAACAAAATTCCCACCTGATTTATACTGATATGGACCATCTTGATACTCCAGAATTTGCCCTATTTCTTTAAAAAAATGTTACTCACACACAGTGCAATCAATGGCAGTTTCAAAAAACCTGTCAGACATACGCTTAGATTTTTCACAAACTTAATTCAAAATTTATTACTTGTTTATGCTTGATATTCAACATTTTAACCTCAATTCGGAGAGTTTAATTACATTTAAAGCTACCAAAATGTTTAGTTTCGGGTTAATACACAAATATACTGATCATTTCCTACATACAAAAACAAAGAAGTACAATGACAGAGAAATATCAAAAGTGTTCAGTACCTTCAAAAAACACAGTGTCTTTGTTAATCAATAAATTTGACCAGGGCCATTATATCGTCCCGTTAGAGCTATTCAGTGCGTAGCGCTGCACTATATTTGTCGTTCGAAAATAAAGCAATTTTTGACGATTATTTGTCAGCGTATAGAAAAAGTATTTCAAGTTCTTTTAAGAACTAGCCAATGACTATTAGTAAGAGATTTTCCTGATAAAACTAAATTTCAACGATTTTCTGATCAGCATTTAAATTATTTTTTCAAACATGTGCTACTCTTTTACGTTTTCAGATGAATTTTGTTGTTGTGTTTGTTTTGTTGTATTTTTGTTTTGCTTTTTTTCCCTTAAAAATATGTTTTCGAAAAAGATTGTTTTAAATCTATATGTATGGGGAACATAAGAAGAACTCGTACAACGGGCAAGAAAGAAGAAGATGGTAGTCAAGAATTACAAAATTTAAAAAAAATTGTCTGACCTTAGAATATTATGACATTTCAAGTTTGCGTGATGATTGTGACGAATGCTACTTAAAACAATTCGAAACGTCTTAAGAAATAATGAGGTTAAGATGCAATAGAAAATAAGTGTTATATTATATAATATGTTCCTTGAAAATTAGTATTAAAAATATATTATCATCTAAATGATTACAGGAAAAAAACTTAGATATGACTAAGTATAGATGTTTACAATATTTTGTCTTATTATTAATGCTTCTCGTATAAATTTGCATAGTTTAATTACTACGACTTCATAAGTTCTATAAATTTAACAACACTTGGTCTGCAAAAAAAGAATTTGTTAATATAACGTTTTCGGATTTGATTATATGCTGAACAGATACAAATAAAATGATATTCATCTTCTAGATCACTACTTGTACATATTGCGCAATGTCTTTGATTTTGTTCAATTCTATTTTTACAATAGTGGCCTGATTCAATAAGATAGATCAGGGTCTTTCAAATATTTGAAAGACCCTTGATATATACATTTAAAATCTGAGATACATACATGTAGATATTTTTTACTGTTAAATCAAGTTTCCTTTGACATGTCCAGTTTTGATTATTGTTTCCTTCATGTTTTCTATACGTTTCCTTCATGAAATAAAGTGTCATCATCATCATCATCATCATCATCATCATCAATATCATCATCAATATTATTATTATCATTATTATTATTATTATTATTATTATTATTATTATTATTATTATTATTATTATTATTATTGTTGTTATTGTCGTTGTTGTTGTTCTTGTTGTTGTTGTTGTTTTTGTTGTTGTTGTATTACAAATCAAAATGAGAAAAAATGAAGAGACGGTAAATAAGTGGTGCTATCGGGACTCCGTATTCGATCATTAGGTTATTGAAACATTAAACGGTCCTGTAGTTTTACAATGTACACGAATGTGTAACGTATATCCCCCAAATTATTAGCTTGTTCATTTTCCTAATGAATTAAATCTTTGTCAGCGTATCTTTATTCAGCTAAATTTTAGGTGATTAAGTCTTTTGTATTCGGATTGCTTTTTGTTGATCCTATAAGATATGAAACTAAAGATTAGGACTGTTTATTCTTAACCCTTGAAAACGCTGACTTATGTATTCATTAATAGCATTTTAATAAATGTGCGCGATAAAACATTCTTTGTAAAATAAAGAAAAAAACTTATTAATATGGGCAAAACAAGGGTATTAATACTTAAAGGTTAACTTTTGTGCGATTACGGTGTATGCAGGTTAATTCGGTTAAGGTGTCTGTCTCTCTACGCAGATATGTTGGTTCGGTTAAGGTGTCTGTCTCTCAATGCAGATATGTTGGTTCCGTTAAGGTGTTTTTCTTCCAACGCAGATATGTTGGTTCGGTTAAGGTGTCTGTCTCTCTACGCAGATATGTTGGTTCGGTTAAGGTGTCTGTCTCTCAATGCAGATATGTTGGTTCCGTTAAGGTGTTTTTCTTCCAACGCAGATATGTTGGTTCGGTTAAGGTGTCTGTCTCTCTACGCAGATATGTTGGTTCCGTTAAGGTGTCTGTCTCTCAATGCAGATATGTTGGTTCCGTTAAGGTGTTTTTCTTCCAACGCAGATATGTTGGTTCGGTTAAGGCGTCTGTTTCTCAACGCAGATATGTTGGTTCCGTTAAGGTGTCTGTCTTTCAACGCAGATATGTTGGTTCCGTTAAGGTGTTTTTCTTCCAACGCAGATATGTTGGTTCGGTTAAGGCGTTTTTCTTTCAACGCAGATATGTTTGTTCGGTTAAGGCGTTTTTCTTTCAACGCAGATATGTTGGTTCGGTTAAGGCGTTTTTCTTTCAACGCAGATATGTTGGTTCGGTTAAGGCGTCTTTCTCTCAACGCACATAGGATGGTTCGGTTTAGGTGTGTCTGTCTTTCAACGCAGCAAGGTTTGTTCGAGTCCTTAGATTCGGGCCACGTTCATTTTTTACTTAATCACTCCAGTACTAATTAATGCCGGAAAACGGATTCGAGCCGGGCTTTTATAGATTTTAACTACATTTTTTATTAGAACCATTCATACATCACATCATACTTTGTTTTAGTTATTCAGTTGTCTCCAGATATTGAGTCAGATGTCACACGGATGGGTTACTTGCGTTGCTATTTGTCTGTAACGTATAACCCGCCTCAAACTTTCCATTCAGGGTGTTAAGAAAAAGAAAGTTTCTGTGAATCGCATTGTGAAAACAATATCGTTGTTGAAATGAAATATGCATCATAAAAACACAGTCTGACTTTAAAATAAGTTATATGAATTTATATATTAATCCATTTAGAGATACATTTCTTCAAAACAGTGTGAATAGACGGAGCATTTTGTTTACTTTCTATTTTGTTGAACACTGTCTACACCTATTTTCTAGTTTAATCATTTTTGTTCCAAATAGTATACATGAATATTTACATAAAAGTAGTCCACAAATGCTTTTTGTACAATTGAAAAGGATGAGAACGAAAGAAAAGTATTATAGAATTCTTCTCCTTTAGCGGACTATATGGCAGTATTGTTTGAACACGTATGTATGTCTTTATGTTTGTCCAACGTGTTTAGATACACCCTTGTGAATATCAATAACGTTTTAAGAAGAACAAATGATCAATTAATCAAAATGTAACGTTATATCTATGTTACTATAGTTAAAGTAATTAGGAAACAAACAGACATACATTTGGAAAGGAATGAATTAATACTAAAGTAAGTTCATAACAGTATATTCTTAAAAGCTTTTCCTTATTTATACTCGAATATTAATTTAATTCTGGTATATATTTGTGTTGTTTTATTAATTTTCGTGAAAGAACAAATACCTTTAATCGGAAATGAGCTTTACGTTTGCTACATATTTTGATACACTTTCGATATCACTAAATGTAAAATGTGTTAGCTATATAATTATAAAGATCTAAAATTCATATCTTTAATTCCATCTATTTGATTTTCAGGACAAAATGTCGGTTTTTGCCTATAAGTCGCATTCATCGAAACCTGTAAAATGTTCAATATGTGAAGAATCCGTGAAATCTCCAAAACAACTGCCATGCGACCACATGTTTTGTTCCGACTGTATAAATCGTCAGATTTCGCGACTATCTATGCTACTTGACGCACGAGAGAAGGTGACAATCGTTTGCCCATACTGCCGTGATTTCTTTCTTTCTTCTATAAGCTTCCTACAAACTGGCCAGCGTCGGTGTAAATCCAGTCGACCAAATGTGTCGTCTGATACGAAAACCAAAGTGGCTGGCGACCGGAAGGCAGAAAGGTGCCAGCCATGCGCAGATGGCTCACATTACGAGCTCGCGACATTCTGGTGCCAGAATTGTTCCGAATATATGTGCTCAACCTGCGCTAAATATCACTGCGCGATGAAAATGTCTAAAAGTCACGTGGTTAAAACAATTCGCGACAAGGAGCGGTATGAACATGTTGAAACAAAGATCTACGAAACGAAACGACCCAATTCAGCCAGGACATCAAAAGATGCCAGACATCCGTTTCCAAAAGATGCTATCCGGTTGTACTGTGAACCATGTAATTCTAGAAATAGAACAAAGGTTGCAAAACACATATGTGAAGTATGTAGTGAACAATTGTGTGAAGACTGTACAAAATGTCATAGAAGTATGAAAATGTCAAAATCACACAAATTGATGTCCGTGAAAGATGCTTTGTGTGAACAAAAATCACAATATAGCTTGGACCTTAAATGTGACAAACATTACAAAGAGCCATTAAGTCTATTCTGTAAACGTTGCCAAACATCATGCTGTGCTATCTGTGCGTTATCCGACCACGTTTATTGCAAAACAAATCTGGAATCCGGATCAAAAAGCAAACCATTGGAAAAACCTAAAGAAGAACCTAATAAAAAAAGAGTTTCCTATGCCTGGGGTATAAAAGATGTTAAGGATCTTGACAAAGGAAAGACATTAGGTGCTGACACAAATCGAGAAATTGTAGAAAAGAGTAAGAAAGAAGTAGCTGCAAAAATCAAGATTGCAGACAAAAGAATGGATGTACGGAAAGGTAGATTAGAAGTTGATTCACCGTTTGAAAACGACTGGGTAATTTCAATGGTTGTTTTATCAAACGGTGATATATTACTGCTCCAACTTTATGATACCAAGTTGAAAATGATGGATTCACTGGGAAACATGATCGCCGAATGCACATTATATGGAAACCCCTGGTCAGTTGGAGTGTACAATGACTCCTTAGCCGTGGTCACTTTCACCGACCGGAAACAGTTACAACTTATCAACGTTTCAAAAAGCGGATTGGAAGCCGGGAAGTTAATCAACACGCGCCACAGATGTTTGGCTGTATGTTTCGCGAGGAACTTGATCGCTGCCACGTGCTGGGAAGGTTGCGTTCATCTGTTAAACATATCCGGTCAGGAAGTAGCCGTCATCGACAAGAATACGGCTGGTCAAAGGCTTTTTACTAACCCAGAATTCATTGCTGCGGATAAATTGGGAACTACTTTGTATGTCACGGACTATAAACGTCATAGTGTTACTGGCTTGAAATTGTTACCAAATAAGATTGACAACAAACCGGCGTTCGTATTCACTCACCGGGACCTGAAAGGACCGAAAGGCGTTACCGTAGACAAAGAGGGCGTGCTCTATGTCTCCGGTATGGACAATAGAAATATATTTCGAATTTCATCTACCGGCGAGCTGCTCCAAATATACAGACGAAGAGAGGATACGGAATATTATGAAGCTATAGCCGTATCGTCAACTGGTGACAAGCTGTTTGTGTCCGCGTATGAAGACAACACAATATGCGTACTTAGGTTAAAATGATGAAAATCCCTTATTATAATTATGAGCATTTAGATCAGTCTTATCACGTTTAATTTCCAATCAAATAACGTTTCTGTATCAGATCAATTTGGTTATGTTATGTATCTAAACTGGTTGTATCTCAACCAGGATCAAATCAATCCATTTCGGTAGTGTCAAATCAAATCAAACAACGTTTTAATATGCAATCAAGCCTATTCATATGTGATTGTATCTAGACAATTCCAATCAAAACATTTCTAATATTTCTATATATAGTTAAAACAATCTATTGAATAGAACCTTGGTAAATGAGTTTTAAGTTAAACCTGTTTGAATATTATAATGCTAGCGTTGATGGTGTAGGCTGTGTCACAAGTGAAATGTTATACGAGCAGTCCCACAAGTCTGTGTACTGTTCATAACACGTGCTTTGTTATTCAGATACTGCACTAATACTGTGCCTTAAATGACATGATTTTGACATGGCATAATTAGATGTTCAGATGCATGTGTTTATTGTTCTATAGCAGTACTTTGTTAGTGTGTGGGTGGGGAGATTGTGTTATTATAATGTTGACACTGCCTTCACGTCTATATATATGTGCCAGATGTTAATTGTATTTTCTTTATATATCTTTGTAAAATTTTATATTTGAATTAAAATTAAAAATTGAAAAAAATCACGTCATGATTGTACATATCGCTGGAATGTGAACTTGTGTTTTGTCAGCATCTGTTTTTTACAAAGTGTGATACAAACAAACATGTTCAAATGTACCAAAATTATCTTTCATTCATTCATTCATTCATTCATTCATTCATTTATTCATTCATTTATTCACTCACCCACTCAGTCATTCATTCATTCATTCATCCATTCATTCATTCATTCATTCATTCACTCTTTATCTATTTATTTTTTCATTGTAATACATAAACTAGGCAACAAAACCCTTGTGGAAGCGTTCACAAATTTGACAATGATATGATGTACCTTAGTTTTTTAAACAATTCCTGACACAAAAAGCCATTTGAGCCGCGTCATGACAAAACCAACATAATGGGTTTGCGACCAGCATGGATCCGGACCAGCCTGCGCATCCGCGCAGTCTGATCAGGATCCATGCTGTTCGCTATCAGTTTTTCTACTTGTAATAGAGTTGGTAAGCGAACAGCATGGATCCTGATCAGACTGCGCGGATGCGCAGGCTGGTCTTGATCCATGCTGGTCGCAAACCCACTATGTTGGTTTTGTTGTGACGCGGCTCATTTAACCCTTTTTTCTACTCTAGTCCTTTGCATAAAACAAAACCATGGTATTATATAAACACAATATAACAATAATTAAATGTGTGTCCCATGAAATTATGACACAAAGGAATATACATGTATTTTGCTGAAAAATGAATAGCTAATGCTGCAAACTTTTGGTAAACATATTTGCAGTAGCCCTAAGACTCTTCCAAAGAGGCTTAACCAGGATATTCTATAGCGTGGCATTGAATTCTATAAAGTGCAACCATGACATATAAATGACCTCTTTACCAGAATCATTTTGTTACTTAGTGAGTTTGACTAGCACACGTACGGTTTAAATGTCGCATGTCGACTTTCTGCTTTTACTGGTGGAGGGAGTGCCAGTGTGCATTTAAGCCAAAAAGAGACACCTTAAAAGAACCATCGAACGTTGGCTTGCTGTTCTGTAAAAAATATACAGATATAAAAGCTAGTTGATTGACATAATTGTTAAACCTGTCGTGTTTGACAAAATTTATAAAGCTTTAGTCGAATCAAATAATTATTTTGGTATGTCACTACTTTGTAGGTATCCTGTTTAGGAATTCAGATTTTAATTTGCTTATGTAACCGTTAATAACGTGCAATTATTGTAGCTGAAAGGGCCCCCACTGAAGTTTTTTTACGTGGTTGGACTGGATTTTTTTTTTCGAGTTTTGTGATCCATTTAATGTAGATTTAGAGTCCTTGACCAATAAATATTGTGCAACTTTTCATATCATTCCCACGCCACGTTTTCTAGGATATTCATTGTCCAAAATGACCCAAAACTAAAAAGCGTTGCAACGTTTTTATACTAAAATCGGGCTAGCATTTGCACAAAAATCGATATTCAATTTAATTTTGAGTATATTTCTCTATATTTCTTTGCAGACTTCTCCAATTTAAGTGCTTTACTGAATCTGAATTTCAAACTTTATATTTTTAGGCTTTTTCCCTTCAGTGGAGCTCCTTTAAAAGCTAAATGTAAATCCCAATAGTTTCAGTCGTATAATTATTATCTCTTTACGACATTCCTCGCAAGATCAAATTTTCCCATTTCAATAAGGGAAATAATAATATCTTCACTAAAACCATTATTTTCCAGCAGATTATTTCCCTTTATTTGTTCAGTTTTATTCCTCAGGAGAACCATTAACAAGTTACCTAGTACAATATAACCACCTCCGTGAAGGGTTAGAGTCGATGACTTCTAATCCAGTTACCTCTCTGGCGTGGGTTTGATCCCCGGGAGATGCTTTGGTAGTTTAGCACGGAGGAAGGTAGTCTAGTACTGGTGTAACTCTCCAGGAATGATGGTTAGTAAACTACCCGCCTATATGACTGAAATACTGTTGGGAAAAGGCGACAAAACCTTGTACAATAACATGCAATGTGCCTATATGCTATCTCATCATCGTTGTCGTCGTAGTTATCGTTGTTGGTGTCGTCGTTGTCGGTGGGCTGCTGCTACTATTGTTTTGCTGCTGCTGTTTTGTTGTTGTTGTTGTTGTTGTTGCTACTGCTACTGCTGCTGCTTTTATTGTTGAAGTTGTGATTGCTGTTATTGTTGATGGTGATGTTGATATTGCTGCACTTGCTATTGCAATTATTGTTGTTATTGATGTTGATGACGATGATCGATGATGTTAATGTTATTGTTGTTGTTGCTGCTTCTGCAGTATAGCGACTTTCCAGCTGTTCTTGTGACGTAATGACTTTTGTGCACTATTTTAGCCACAAGCGGGCACCTAAGTAGACTTCACTGGTGGCGAAGTGAAACGGTTATTTGGGATATCGTCGTGTGTTTAGCAGACTATTTGGAATAGATTAGATGTTAAAATTTCGAGAAAGAGTATAATACATTTAAACCCCGTTCATGGGAACACTTGTAGTTCTGAAAAACCAATGATCTTAAAGTGAATGGTGTTAATTTCGGATCGTCTTCAAACTATATGTTGGCGTCAACAGCTACCTGGAGTCATGATATCGATGATAGAGAAGCAGACACGTCAAAAGAACCACCGAACCTCCGTAAGCTGCCTGGATGACACCCTTAGATTTCAAACTCATTGGCAGGATTGTGATATGTTTATTCTAAATTGAAATGTGATACAATTTGGAGTACATGTATTTTGGAAACAAATTCAACGTTCTTTTTCTATATATATTTATTTTACCATTTTTAGAAACAGATTTTTACACATATTACTTTTAATTTGCATCTTAATACATGTACTGCATACATATTTATCAACCTTATTTGAAAATTTGTTTCTCTTGATGTTTGTCTACACTTCAAATGTAATAGCATGATTTTTAACACATTCAATACACAAAACATCATAAGAATCTGTCCACTGTTGTTTGGTTTGACTTAATGTAACATTAAAAAAGTACATGTAATAACATTGATACATGTAGTTCCTCGAGCATTATCAGAGGTTGAAACAAATTCATTTAGGTCTTTACACAGATAGTATACTTTCAACAGTGAGATCCACTTCTTGATCACACACATAATCATCATCATCATCATCATCACGACCATCATCATCATCATCATTATCATCATCATCACGACCAACATCATCAGCATCATCATTATCATCATCATCATCATCACCATCACCATTATTATCATCATCATCATCATCATCATCATGGAGACCATCATCATTATCATCATCATCATCGAAACCACCACCATCATCATCATCATTATCATCATCATCATCATCACGACCATCATTATCATCATGAACAACAATATTTTCCTGAACATCCTCATTTCTAAGTACAAACTAAATATCAATACCTTCCCAAATTTCATCTACGTCATCACAAACGTGTATGTCAGCATTCACATCGACGTATTCTTTTGCGTTCATTTCTTTGTTTAGTACAATTTTTCCATTGAAAACTCTCATAAGTTTCACAAGTTCACTTACTGGAATATCATCATCAAATTCCTCAGTACCACACCAATCAGTGTTTCTATGGAAAGTTATTCCACGTATTTCGAAGCGCTTTTCATAACCTTTGACGTTGTGTCTCTCACAGAGGCACTCAGCCATTGAATATCTTTTTTTTTTTTAGTATTTCGATTTATTTTATCGTCTATTTTGGAAATAATTATTCTGAGAGGACATTTCTATTCAAGCAGGGGGGTGGGGGGATTCACCCCTATTTATTTTGGAGAATTCCCCCCTATATTTTCAGAGGCAGGGGGGAATTTTACATAGAGAAAGAAGGAAAAAATCAACAAATGTAATAAATTCTCACTTTTCGATAAAAATCCCCCTTTTTTCAAATCCTAGAATAGACACTGTAAGATTCTTATAGTGTTTTTTATTACATATCCACTTGTCAAGTGATTGTAGTTTTGCAGTTTGTATTGGCAGGCAAGCACACAACTTTAACATTGTAAAGTTTCAGTTCATGTGAATGAGATGGGGCATTTTGTAATTACACGAGAATATTGCGCCCAGAACGTTTCATTTTCATGACAAATAATTGTATCCAATCTGTGAACAATGCACTTGTCATCCACGCCTTACTGTTGTGTTTCAATTTTACTGGTAGATTATATATATATTTAAATTTCTTAGACAGATATGGCTGCTTCATTCAAGACGTCACAAAATCCTCTTCCATATTGAAACACAACATCACGGTTATTCTTTCCTAGGATTTCTTCCCTCATTTGCAGTCTTGACCACGTACAGATAATGGTTGCGGAAATACAGTTCTACCTCGTCCATATTGTACACATCACAAGGTGTATGATCCTTTGTGAATTTTGGAACTCGTCAACAGTCTCCTGACAATTAGTTTCTATTTCTTCATCCTACGCAGTGTGTATTGTCTCAACGACATGGAGGTACTAATATACCATCCCTTAGAGGCTTTGAACTTTCCATCTGATATGTTGGTCAACATCAACATCGTTGGTGTACATAAAAGTTTTTTTCTTGAAGTATTGGTACACTGATACTTACATATTAAGCATTTATATATTACCTGAAAACCTAGTTCCATTTCAAATGTTCTATATGTGAGCTCTTGCACAAACGATTTCTTTCCTGATTACATTTACATTCATACCCATCATTTACAGCTTTTCGTTTCAAGACAGGTTGAACCTGAAACTATTTGAATGATTTATTAGTCCTTATCTAAAGAGATACATTTTGTAAAACAAACATACTTGTACCAAAATAAACTAAAATATAGCCTGCATTTATTATTTTTTTATTAATTTGATGGGCACATTTCTTTTATCATTATCATGCTTGTATTCTGATTATGTATAATCGTGTAACAACTTGTCTTGTCTTGAGAACTTTACAATGAGATAACGTTGGCATTTTAATAGTGCATAACGAGGTTACATAAATGATATAGCCTCGGTGCAAATTTCGAGTAAGTACGCTGATGCACAACTTGAGCTTAGTTACGGGACATTTCAACATTTCATCTTCGTGAATTCACAATTTTAACATATTGAATTCATTAGGTTAAAATCGTGAATTCGTGAAGTTGAAATATTGAATGCGTGAATTTGAAATAGTGAATTCATGAAAGTGAAATCGGGAATTCATAAAGTTGAAATGTCCCTACCGGTCTTTCGTACTTAGTAGATTACTACCCATTTCTTGGTCCACCGGGTAAACACTTGTGGATCTATTTCTGAAATGAACGACTTTGCTAGTTTGAGTGAACTTTGCTGGAAGATTTGCAGAAATTGTTTGAGTATTTATAAATGAGCCGCGTCACGACAAAACCAACATAGTGCGTTTGCGACCAGCATGGATCCAGACCAGCCTGCGCATCCGCGCAGTCTGATCAGGATCCATGCTGTTCGCTTACTAACCCTATTACAAGTAGAGAAACTGATAGCGAACAGCATGGATCCTGATCAGACTGCGCGGATGCGCAGGCTGGTCTGGATCCATGCTGGTCGCAAACGCACTTTGTTGGTTTTGTCGTGTCGCTTCTCAAATGTATGTTCACGTTCGAGCTGCAACAACAGCAGAAGTGGCACTTGTGTCGTATTACCCCCAATATATTGTGTCGCACTTATAATAGAAAAGCTATTATTGTCTTGAAATTCGGTTACAAGGGAGATAATTACATGATTTTTCTTCGCTGAATACTATACTGACTTATTTGTCTATATATTTTGTGCTAAAGTATTTTTTATGAATGAATCAAAGATTTCGTTCTGTCATATTTTATTTTTGTTTATGTTTGTTGAGACAGAAATGGACCACATATATAAGATAACTAAAACAGTCCAAATTTCTTTATCGATAATCTACAAAATCAAGATAAGGGCAAAAATATGTGAAGAAAAAAATCTTGAGTACTAAATCTAGTAACACGATCTATTCTTTTTACCGTATGAAGCACTTATCAGGGCCAATTATATAAGTCTAAAGTACTTTGATTTGTATAACTGATACTGTCAACACGTTTTTTGTAATTTCCACTTCATCTTGACCCCACTTGGCACACAACAAGTTCGGCTCCATTAGTGGGTGTGCTTGGTTGCCTTTTTACTCATTTGTTCGATTAAAACAGTTTGTTTTTTAACTTGATTATTTTGATGAATCGAGTGCATTTCATAATATCGTCTGGGTGAAAAATTCACGTGTTATAAGTGAAATAGCCGAATTTACCGGTGAGATATGGAGTATATTTCACTGACTCATAATGAAAATACAATGAAGACCCATTATTCAGCAAAGAATAAGCTTTGAATTTTATTTAACTGTTTTAAAACAATCATCTTATTGAAGTGAATTTATATTTTATTCTTAGAAAAATGTTGGAAGCCTTATCAAGGAATATAACAATTCCATACATTCGCTTTAATAAAAAAATAGCATTTGTCTATTAAAATGTATGCAATATAAACTACAGTATAATACACTATGCTGTATCCGCTTAAATAGATTAAAAGGAAAATTAAATAAGCTTTGAAAAGTATAAAATTATTCAGTTAGGAGAAAAATATCTCCTTAATGGTGATATTCTCGATATTGCGCGATATTTGAATAGTAAAGACGACGTTGGTAAATTCTGGGAATATTTTTTCTTCGGATCGTCGGGGTTAAACTGTTTTAACTGTTTTTGTTGCTGTTGTTGTTTTTTGTTGTTTTTGTTGGGGGGGAGGGGGGTTTGAGCAACTTGAAGTGAGTTAAAAAAAATTGAAACTGCCTTTAGCTTTAAACCAGAGTTATATTATACAATCCCATACCTGCAACGTTTTGTTACAGCGCAGTTTTGTTGAGTATCTTTTTGCTGAAAGCTATCTTCTTAAACTGCCCATACGCGTTAAATGTTTCATATTTACTGTAAATGCATGATATGCATAGAATGTAACTGATGAGTCAAAACCGGAAGTGGTATACGTGCAGAGTGTGATTTTGTTGTCATGTTATTAAATACGCGTTATAGAAAATACGCCTTATATGGTTTCCGAAAAAAAAAAACCTTCAGTGGGTAATGTATGCGGCAAACATTTAACAAAAAGTAAAACAAAACACAACAATAAGTGGTTTTATAAAAAAAAAAAAAAAATATATATATATATATATATATATATATATATATATATATATATATATATATATATATATATATATATATATATATAACCGTCATTTAAACATCAATAAATGACTGTCATGTCAACATATTCAGCGCACGGAAAGCCTTTGACCCTTTTAAAATAATTACTAACTGAATAGCGCTCAATGCAGACCATGATCGTGATCTGGCTCTCCACTGGTCGCATGGGTAAATGGTCGCGAGTCAGATACCCTGCCGGTCATATTTGAAGACCATATGCTCTTATGCTCGTCACCCAGTATCAAAGTTTGAAGTTCTTTCTTCGTGAATGTTTGTCTGGCAAGTAAGCATGGAGAACTTTAAAAAAGGAAATAAAAAGAACGTACTATTCCGCGAATGTTTTAACAGAATTACTATTCTTATTGTGCAAAATGACCCAAAATTTAAAGCGTTGCAACGTTTTCCGAGAATAGCGCAATTACAAGATTTTCAATTTAATCTGAGTATATAATATCATTCTGTTTTAAGTACCCCAGTGATCTATGTAAATAAATTAAAATTTTATGTTTTTATGCTGTTTTGGACCTCATTGGGGTTCCTTTAAATATCGAAGAAGTTTACTTAAAACAAATGTGAAACAAGTAATAATTATAAAATGTAAGCAAATTCATGTTGAAAATTCGTTAAAGATCCCACCAACTTTCTAAGCTGATTTCAATTCTGTGGTGGTGGTGTTGTTGTCGTTGTTGTTGTTGCATTCAATACGAAAAGAATTTCCATTGGCCATTTTAGAATTGCAAACTGAAATCGCTCATTCTTAGATCATTCTAAAATAAAATGTAAAGGATAGTTCTTATCAACAGCTCTGAAATAAAGTGTAAGGGATAGTTTTTGCCACTATAAAACAAAATATTATAAATAAAGGATAGTTCTAAAATAAAATGTACAAGAATGAAGACAATTCTTTAACTTTTTGTTAAATTTGTAAATGATTACAAAATTTATAAAGTCAAACGTAAAACAAGTTAAAGAGACACCTAAAATAGAAGTTATCATACTATGAAAATCATCAATACAGATATGCTATTAATTTAATTCCAATGTTTACAAAATGGGCATTTTCTATGCTATATTATGTCATTGTTATGCAAGCATTTGCTAACATTTCTTTTTTGTATTGAAAACTTAGAAAGAAATAATTTTTTATGCTCACCAGTTTTACTTCGACTGAGTATTTTTTAAAGATACTTCTTGTTACAAGTAATTAAACTTGCTTTTAGTCAAATCGAGATGCATTAAAATATTTTAGTCACGACGTTATGATCCGTAAAATAATTGTGATCTCACGACACGCGAACCTGCAATCGGAACATCTCGGCTATTATCAATAATAACTTATCCTTATCCGAAGTTTGACGGAAAGGGCCGAGAAGAACACATTGAATTTCTTAAATGCACTGGTCAACCTGCCTACCAGAGCCTGGTCAGATTGGTGGTAAAGGCTGGTCACTTCCGATTTCTGCTAAAACAATTATGCTGTTTTTATCTATTTATTTTCTTTCTTTCTTTCATTATTTATTTATTAATCATTTCTTTTATATTTTGTATTAATATAAATATTTGTTGGTTTTTTGTTTCATTAAACGTGCCAGAAAACAAAACATTCGCTTCTATCTTTTGTGATAATCAAAAGTCCCACGGGTGAAATAAAAATCGGTATTTGAACTTTTAAGATCATCACAATTTAAATGTTCAGTTTTCACAATTTTACATGTATGCTAAATTTTAAAGTCAATTTGTTTGTAATGATTTAACAAAGGGGACTGTCTAATGTTTTACAAAAACCTGAGATTTTCTCAGAGTTTCCCAGGAACGTGGATGCATGAGTTTTATCAGATTAAATAAAAGGCACAGAAAACTTCAAAAGAACCAAAATCCGTTATCTAAATATACGGTAAATTTCTTTACTAAAATACGGGCTGGAAATCGCTGTTCTTTTATTGAAAAATAATAACATGCCCTCAAAATAGTTCGGTATTGTGCCAGTATTATTTGCTAACAAAATTCAAACCATATGTGTTTGTAATTTAAGTAAATGTCGTATTATACTAGTATGTCCTTTTCGACAATAAGTTTATAGTTTAAACAGTTTTTCCCACGCTCGCGAATAAATACTTGAATACGCTCACGTTACTGGCGCGGGCCTTGTACAATACGTTTCGTATAATTATAGGACCGCCGAAAGATAAACATTATTGTTAACATAAGTAGGTATTAGCACGGTGGTTTTCTTTTGGTCAGGAAAATTGCTATTTTTGATGGTTTAGCAAAATACTTCAAAAATAGGCGTACCTTTCCCATGCTTCGGAATGTTTCCAACACGTCTTACCAAATATCGGCGCGCGTGCGGTCACTTTAGTTCGTTTGTTGTTAATTATAATTGACAGAGAAAAGGCGGTGCCCAACGCATTTCGTCCAATGAAATTCGCGCGACCACTTGTTAATTGAAAATGAAACCGTTTGATTGGTGAATGATAAGGTAGCCGATCGTGGGAAAAAGTAATTGAGAAAATTCTCATTGCTACAATAAATCGTTTCGTTTATGAGTGAAATTTCAAAAGTGCAACAATCTACATGAGCAACAGGTTGTCAGTAGATTCTGGGAATTTTATAAAGATAAAGAACTTGTGATACACAAAACAATAGTTTATTAACAAATAATCATCTTAAACAACATTTATTCAATTATGGATGAAATGGCTAGTGAGAAAAAAGAAAAAGTGACCCCAACACGTAGGGTGAGTACAGCTTATTTAACAAGTAAAAAAATCCTATTCAGTTACACAAAATATTATATTTCTCTTTGCATTCTTTAATTCGAAAATTTATATAAGTCTGATGTAAAGCGTTTATGATTTAAATATATAATTTTTAATTTTTATTTTGTTTAAACACCATACAACTGTGATGATGCACAACTTTGTCTCAAAGGCTTTGAATTTTGTTTCAAAATTATTGTTTTATCTTAAAGATTATGATATCCTAAAGAACTCTCTATTATTGTATTAATTCAAACTTAAAATCATACTTAAAACTATATATATAATGGATGTTAAATGGAACGTTTTAATGTGGCATTGCACTTATTTAAAACTATCAAATTATTTCTTATTTTTACAGACGAATAAGCCACTTATGGAGAAAAGACGTCGAGCTAGAATCAATGATTGTCTCGTGCAACTGAAAAGTCTCGTGCTGCAAGCAATGAATAAAGACGTAAGTTACCTCCCTTACACCTTGACAGTTGTTTTTTTTGCAGACGAGAATTTTTTTAAAAGTTTACTTCATTTGACAGTTTAGCCAATCAATGTGTTTATGAAATTTAAATCATTTCTCTGAAATATATTTTATGTACTTTAAATATAATTTTCCATTTTACTAAATTCTAAAGAAAAAACAAGTGCACTGATTTTTATACAAAATATTTTCATTCGTTTTTGCAGACGACACAATATTCTAAGTTGGAGAAGGCGGACATATTGGAAATGACGGTGAAACATCTGAAGTTGGTCCAGCGTCAGCAGATGACGGGTATGTACATGTATAAGTTAAAACATACATTCATATTTGCAGTTAAAACAAAGTAATATTTGATATACGTCACGTGACATTACAAGGAAAAATATAAATGTTACGCTTGTGTTATTTAAAATGCAAAGTGCATGAAGCCGAAGTATATACATTTGTATTTTAATATCTGTTCGTGTAAATATTTGCAAAAATATAATGTTTACGCTTGGTAATATTTAAAGCTGTATTGCTTGTGTTTCTATAAATGCATTATTGTAATGTCATTGTTTTTTGCCTTTTTTAGCTGCTATGGCATCAGATCCAAATGTAATCAGCAAATATCGAGCTGGGTTCAATGAGTGTGCGGCTGAAATTTCACGTTATTTGGATACCGTGAACGGCGGCAATCCAGAACTTAAGGGACGTGTAATGAACTATTTGGCCAACAGTATGATGCAGTTTCCCGTCATTCCGGTGTACCAGGGCGTCGTGCCACCGTATCATGTACAAATGACGTCACCAGCAACGTCACATGCAGGATTTTGTATGCCACCATACGGAAACAACGTCTTCAACTCGCAACATCAACATCCTCAAACTCACCAAAACAAGCATAATCGTGATTATCTCCCTTACTCCCACAACATAGAAACTTCTGTCAAACAAGAATCAACGCCAGTGAACGTCAACGTTGAGTTTCCTTCACGTGTTACGTCACAAACAACGTCACCTATTAGGCATATTCCCTCCCCTTGTGACTCTGACAGTGGATTAAGTGATAGTTCGTTCTCACATGACGAAAATGGAAATTATTCTCAATTCAATATTAACCAAGATCTTCGAAATGAAAACGATTCTAGGCAATCTGAGTTATACAAAAGTAATGAAAGTAACCGTGCTGTCCCTTGTTACAAATATGACCATAGTAGATTAAGTCCGAAACGAAAACAAAATGTGTGCAATGAAAGTGCTCAAAAACGATTCCGCTCCAGTGAAAACTTGACATTGGAAAATGTGACAGTAAAACCTGAACGTGATGCACGTGAAAACGACCCAATGTGGCGTCCCTGGTGATATGTTATGATATGTAACCACGTGCCTTACTTTTGTTATATTGTTAAAGAATTAATAGTTACGTTTTTATGTATGTGACTTCCCTGTAGTGCTTTAAGTGTGATGAGAAATTCGGAAACAGTATTATATTTTGTTGATACATTTAACAATGAGACATGTTTTACAAGGAAAATAATTTACAAGGAGAATTTATAAACTGTTTGGACTTCTTTGAAAATTCATGTGCACTTTGGACCTTTTCTTATAATATGTTAAATAGTTATATTGATATCGCTATGTTTTGAAAAAGACTATCAATTCATTTCATTCACATTTTTTACCTTTCCGTCAAATTACATTTGTTCACTATTTAAATACATGCACCGTGACGTCTTTGCAGAAATTGTTAAGTGATTAAGTTTCACCAATATGTGTGACTATTTAATAACTTAACCATGCGCACCGTTGTTTTTGTTATAAATTTATAAAGCTGCTGAATAATAAAAAATGTCACGAGAAGAACAATGAATGTAATGTTTGCAACAATGGCATGCGCAGGATTCCGTACTTTATTAATAACTTTAAGGTCTGACAGACCTTTTAAACATGAAAATGTGACATTTTAGAACTAAGTTATTTGCAAAAATAATAAAGAAATATACTAAGAATGAATTGAAAATCGTATTTCTGTGAGACTCTAAGCTTTTTTGAGCAAAAGGCATTCTTTTAACGTTTTTTCATGTCTGGGCCATTTTCACAATTTAAATTTAAAATTCTGGGGAAAAAACAGAGTGAGTGAATTATCTAAAATTCTGCATGCAAGTTATTTGTCCAGAAGAACAGCAAATGGAACATAAATCTCAAAGAAAAATATTAAACTCTTAAATGTTGTCCCTTTAATTAGTTATAATGTTTATGACTAAATAAGAACTGATCTTTGTTTTCTGTTATGTAGCTATTTTTTACTACATTGTAATAGTATCGACGATTTCTTTGAGTATATTATAGAAAGAAAAATGTTATTTTGAAAAGTTGTTTTAAACATGTGTTATATTTTATGAACTGCTCATGTGATAAAAGTATTAAAATATATGAAAGAAATACAGACTTTTGTTATTTTGAAAAAAATGCGTCTACATTCTAAACAAAATTCTTGTCTTACTTTAAGACTTGCATCATTTTTTTTAAGACCAGACCTACGTGGAACGGCTCTAGGATGGAGCAAAGTATGCACCAAAAACAAACTTATTGGAACTAGTGAAGAGTCCGCTCCCTGCAACTTAGCAGAACTAATTTTGTATGTGAAGAAACATTGATGTGGCCCCTATAATGCTCGAACCCTAGCCAGAACAACAAGGCCACCGCTTCATTACATTTTAAGGTTTAGATTGAACTGCTGATTGGTAATAAGATAGCCAGTGTTTCTGGATTTGATCTTAAAGGCCCATTATGAGCCAAAATAGTTTCATTTTATTTTCTCAAAAGCTTTTTATTTGTGTTGCCTTTTCAAAGTTTCCAGAAAATAACTAATTAGCCATTTGTTTGAATCGATTTTTGCTTCTGTTGCTACAGATATAGTGATTTTGTACGAAAGTCAAAATACTATTTTGTTTACATTTTGCTACGTTTTTTTTACCCATAATCTTACATTCTTTAGGTAACAAGTATCTAACCTGCTTTAAAACCATTATTTTAACACTGTAAAACTCGTGCGTGTCCATTCTAAATAAGAAAAAAAACAATCGTTTCTAAGGCATAATGTGCCTTTAACCACTTTTCTACAAACTAACTCATTTGAAACTGTTGGGCATTAAAGGCACACTCAGTCTAAGCAATAACTACGCTTTTTCCTCTGAAGAAAATACAAGTCCATGTTTTATAATATTTTAATTAATTATTAAAACTAAGAGCATGTAGTGAAGAACGTGGCGTTGGATGTGAAATAATTTGTCATAGTAAAATCGTAAATAAAATGGTATTGTGTACAGAATACTGTCTACTGTAACTTTACAGAACACCAAAAATAAAAGATTGTTGAGAAATAACAATAATAGATTTAAGAGCATAACGGGCCATTAAATACAATAGATTATTGGCACCAAAAACTAGCCATATCAGGGTCATTCTCCAATATAATAAGAGACACAAAAAAACTTTTACTATAATTTTAAAAACAGGCACCTAAATAATTTTCTTTTTTCTTTATCATATTTTTGTCGAGTTATTTGAAATTACTTCTGTAAGATGTACATGTCTGCGGAGTTCCAATATAATAATTATTTATATAAAGAAAAATCGACAACGTAAGGGCAAAAGGTTAAAATGTCTTAAATAATTGAATAAAATCTAATACTCGTTCAGCTTCCTCTATCCCCGCTGAGCTAATCGGCTTTACTCGGTATGAATCCGCGCTTAAAGCAACCACCTATTACATTGGAATAACATCGCGGTTTTGAATGGCTGTCAACCGCAAAATATTTTATAAAAAATCTATTACCACAGGCTGCATAATTTTAAATCATACTGTCGTAGTTAAGAATACACCATTTTGTTGCGTAATAATGTATGCTTGATCATTAGGGGTGTTTTCAAAAAAAATATTGATAAGAAATCGATAGCAATCTTTGTTAACTAGTATTTCTTTCCAGACTAAAACCCCAGGGTGTCATCGTCTTAGTAAAACAATGATAAAATCTACATACAATTTTCTCAAGGACATTTGACGCCGCTATATACCCTGTCTTTAATTATGCAGTATATACATCCTACCCTTTTATTATTTTTAGATCAAGATAGGCCAGGAAATTAAACAGGCGTTGTAATTCATTTTTCCACGGACCGTCCGCAGGGTTTTGATTTATCTTAACGGCACCGGCGCACGGCACGTTGTTCAATCAAAATGACGTAAATATAGCCTTATCACTAAGTGATCAACCATTACTTATCAATTAGCCATTCCTTATGCACGGGGGAGGAAGTGTTACACGAAGGATGGAGTTCTTATGATAACTTGTTTGGAGTTCTTATGATAACTGTCACGGAGTTCCTGGAAAACGTTACGGATTTCTGTGGAAAACTTTTCTATATACTTAGAGAACTCACTTAAAAAATGGTTATTTTTAACTTTAAATGGGGAGTTTGAGGTGCTAAATTAAACTTTGATAATTAAGCTTGCCCTACATATTGTATTATGTTTCAGAAAAAATCTTTTAGTCCATATTTCGCCGCCGTTTAAAAAAAATCTGGTAGTTTTGAGAAAAATTTTCAAATTACTTGCTAATTCGTACATATTGACCTTTTCATTTGTGATCTTCTTCGTTGCTAAACTTAATTACCTAATTATTATGGAGAGTTGCAAACATAAAGCCCAGGCTAATAAATTTATACCCGATTTTTCAAATGTTACGGAGTTCTTGCGATAACTCAAAATATGTCCTGGAGTTCTTATGATAACTTTTGTTACTGCCAGTGTGTTTTTGTGTTTAATCACGGCACGTTTAAGCGTATTTTATTAGTCAATAAGTGTGTAAATCATTATGAAGCATAGTACGCTTATCATTTGCACAAAAATTTGGTTATATAACGTTGGTTTTGATCGTGTTTTTCAGTTCAAGAGATATTTTTCTTACCTCCGTTTCTTGTGTTTTTTGTGTTTGTTTTGGTCTTTGTGTGTGTGTGTGTTTTTTTTATTGGAATGACTGTAAACATACTTGATGTAGAGCATTTACTTACAGGATAAAAATACGCTTTGAATTTAATACTCAAGCACGATTTCGTCATATATACATTATTCCTGGCAGTTTTAGAGAACATTAAGTAACTATGCTATCGGTATGCATGTGCAAAATAGGAGGTTGTATGCACTACCTTTTATCTAAATTTAATGAGGTGGGTGTCGTCTTTATGTATTCAACGGGTATTTCAATTTCTAAAAGGTATCAGTTTTTGTCATAGAAACGTATAAAGTTCTATGACAATGATATGACGATAGAAAGTAAGTCTTCAATAAGACATGTGAGTCACCGTAAGGTTCATGCCGTTTATCGACCTTGTTTCTTTCTCTATTAAATCCAATGTAGCATCACGTGACGTACAGCAATTTCCATATTTCGGAAAATTACTGCATACATTTTTCTTATCAAAGTTGGAGTCCTAGTGGAAATTTTGCAACAACTTTTGCTGTAATTGATTACAAAAATATATTGTCGAACTTCTTTCGCTCGAACCCGTTGGGCACGTGCAAATCTGTCGAAGAAATCGGTAGTAATCGGTTGATTTTTTATGCATAAAAAGATCATACATTTCGGGTGCATGGGTGTGAAGGATATCCCGGTTATATACGATACATGGTATATAATGATACAATTTACTTAGCCGCTTCTTGAGGGAAGCCCAACTACTTATTGTCTGCTTTAGAAAGACGGTTACTTAAAACATGTAACTGAGAAAAAAGGTGTAAGTTTTAAACAATTTTTCCTTGGCGGTTTAAGCCATGTTACTGCTGAATACAGGTGACCGCTGATTCAGGTTTTCCTGAAGATTTTTGTTTGTTTGTTTGTTTGTTTCATTTAACGCCTTTTCCCAACAGTATTTCAGTCATATGGGCGGGTAGTTTCCTAACCATCGTTCCTGGAGAGTTACACCAGTACTAGACTACCTTCCTCCGTGCTAAACTACCAAAGCATCTCCCGGGATCGAACCCACGCCAGAGAGGTAACTGGATTAGAAGTCATCGACTCAAACCCCTCGACCACGGAGGCGGTCGTTCCTGAAGATAGCTTAGCACATGTTTATCCTATGTAGACTGTACACCAAAGCAGTTTCATGTCTTCTCCAGATATATTGAATGATCGTGTTTTAATTTTGCCACATGGCCTCAATGTTGCATTTGCGGAAACTTATGACATAAAACTTTTGTTGACGGACAGTATACACAGAAACATTTAGTGCATTCGTTGGGTTTTATAATGTCAATATGATTTCGCACAAATTTAATTAGGATCAAAACCATCGTTATATAACCAAATTTTTGTGCAAATGATAAGCGTACTATGCTTAATAATGATTTACACACTTATTGACTAATAAAATACGCTTAAACGTGTCGTAATTAAGCACAAGAAACACACTGGCAGTAACAAAAGTTATCATAAGAACTCCAGGACATATTTTGAGTTATCACAAGAACTCCGTAACATTTGAAAAATCGGGTATACATGTATTAGCCCGGGCTTTATGTTTGCAAATCTCCACTATAATTAGGTGATTATGTATAGCAACGAAGAAGATCACAAATGAAAAGGTCAATATGTACGAATTAGCAAGTAATTTGAAAATTTTTCTCAAAACTACCAGATTTTTTTTTAAACGGCGGCGAAATATGGACTAAAAGATTTTTTTCTGAAACATAATACAATATGTAGGGCAAGCTTAATTATCAAAGTTTAATTTAGCACCTCAAACTCCCCATTTAAAGTTAAAAATAACCATTTTTTAAGTGAGTTCTCCAAGTATATAGAAAAGTTTTCCACAGAAATCCGTAACGTTTTCCAGGAACTCCGTGACAGTTATCATAAGAACTCCAAACAAGTTATCATAAGAACTCCATCCTTCGTGTAACACTTCCTCCCCCGTGTTATGTTAAAATATATTTACAACCCCTATAAAAACAGGCGAAGGCGGCTGCAGCAATAAAAAATAAATCCCTTAGGGGAATCACGTTCCAGCCATCAAAGTTACGTAATTAATTTCACTTTTTCAATTATATCATTTCTATATTTATTATCTATCTCCGGACAAGTGTGAAGGTATTTTTTATAGTTACAACGTTAGACATTAATGACAATAAAAATATCGCCTACGTTACGTCAAAATTGATCAGAAAAATAATGACTAATTAGTAGCTATCGTTTTATTGTCATAAATACTGATAACTAAGTCGTTACTATGAGGAAATGAACCCTAGAGTCTCCCCCAATGAGAGTTACCATTGACTTTTATAATTTATTATTGATTTGGTATTTTAAGAATGCAAATTATAAGTTAATCGATCTCTTTGTTGAAATTATAATTATCATTTAAATTAAAACACTTACTCATAG